ATAATTATCAAATGACAAACAAAATCATAATGATAACTCCACCGAGTAGCTCCAGGTCGATGCAAGGTACCAATTTGATTAGCTCCTCTACTAGTCTCTCGTTCACCAACAGCCAACAACTCTATAATATTCATTGATTAAGCAACTTGTAACTCACTATGATGTTTTGGAGAAGCAGTAATGACATTGACAATTGAATTCAAGGATGAAAAGAATAACCAAATTGCAGCCACTTCTTTTGATGTTGAAACTAATGTTAATTGTAGTTGATGCGCAAAACAGTGTACATAATATGTATACGGGCAATCTCTAAGAACTAATGTTTGTAGCCCATTTCATGCACCTCGCATATTACTAGCACTATCATATCTTTGATATCTCATCTTATTAATACATAATTCATGGAAATCAAGTGCTTTCTTGATCTTTTTTTAAAGTATCGATGCAGTAGTGTCTTTAACCCACACAATGTCAAAAAAAAGGTTCTCGTAAAAACCCATCATTATCAACAAATCTTAAAACAATAGCCATTTGCTCTCTATTTGATGTATCTTGTGATTCATCAACAAAGATACAAAAAGCAATATGCCCAACTTCTTCACTAATTTTTTTTTCTCACGTTGTTAGCAAGAATATTTAAAACCTTCTTTTGAATCATGGGTGAGGTATATTTAGCATTTCTTGGCGTATTCTCTAAAGAAACTCCAGCCACCTCACCATTACTTTGCTGTATGTTTTACCATTTCAATAAAATTTACATGATTTTTAGAATTCAAAGATTCATCATGCCCTTGAAAGCACATGCCTGATATGTAAGCCATCGAACACACTCTATTGTTGTCTTGAGCTGCAACTAGTTTTTCAAAAATTTATTTCTTTGATTGTCGATTAATAACTTTGTTGACATGTTGAGATGGGTTCATCAAGTCCTCCATACATCTTTCACAAGTATTATGCGACGAAGATGAACCTCCCATGTGTGTCAAAAATAAACAATTATTTCCATCATTAACTCTTTTTCAATTACTAAACCCCTCAATAGTTAGTGCAGGACGACCACTACTAAAAAGAAAGCAAGGAAACAATAGACTTTATCATTTGAAGGGGAATATTCTAACATGGAAATTGGGAGAACCAAGAATATTGAAATCGACGATATTGCGATCCAAACCGAGACCTCGGATATTTTTAAAGTTTTGGTTGGTAAGGTCCAACTTTAATATGAGCCTGTCGAACCTCATCACGTTGATTAATATGGTATTCAGATATTTGAATACGTTTCCCAGGGTCTCATTCCAAAGAAGTAACATCAAACTCATTAGGCTCAACTACGGGAGATGTATGATGAGGTGGCTTAGTTGATGGTGTAGCCTTGTTATTGTCTAATTTATCACCATCATTTTTTTTTCTTGAAGAATGAATGAATGAATAGTTTTGCTCTTTTTACTTGCTTGGTTTTGATGTAATATTATAATCTAATAACACATATCAACAACAAAACAATTTACTTTATAAAGACTAAATGAATACACAAGAACAATGAAGGCAATTGAGTGAAAAATATTAAATGGAAGAATTATGGCTAAGAACTATATCTTTATTGTGCGTTTGAACGATCGAATATACTTTGGTAGCACGAAATATAAACGTTGTAGATATCTTTTGGGGACTACTAGGCTAAGTATTACATATATCAAATTTTCTTTTCAGGACCGACTAGGATACTTATTGCATAGTAGGTGATGGGCTATAGGTCTATTCTTTAAAACAAAAAGCTTACTTGGGCTACAGCCCACTGTAGCCCTGAAGGTAGCTCCGCCCTTAGTTCAAAGGGCTTGGCTTGCCATAGTTTTCACTTTTTCACCCTCTTTTTAAACATTTTTTTCACCCTCGGGAGTCCCTTTCTTTTTCATCTAAAAAAATAAAAGTGAAATTGCATTGCAAAAGTCATATAAATTATTTTTGGTTGAAACACCGGTGGTCACATGATATAGTTTGTACACGTATTATTATATGGGTAGACAACATAACTATTTTGTTATAGATGGTTAAGCACATATTCTGAGGTGGCTCTTCTATGAGCTCATTGTATGTCATTGATCATTTTTTTAAATAGTAAATTTGGCTTTCCCTCTTCAAATTTATTTTTCTACAAATAAAACTTAATTTTTCTAAATAAAATCCAATGACTAGGATCTAACTCAGTAAGTTACCTAATCAAGCTTGAAATATTTATCTGAGCTATAGGAGGTTAGGAGAGAGTATTTGAACTAATTTTGTAGCCCATTATTATAGGAATGCAAACATAAATGTGCATTGAGAGATGGGTATTATTCATTTGCACAAAATTAGGGGATGTAAAACAGTCAATCACTAAATAAAGATCTAGTGGCATGATTTATAAATAAATCAACTTACATAGACATATTGTTATCCAATTTTAAAAATGAGTTTTACTTAAATATTATACTATTGTTGGATTATCATATATGATTTTTGAGTTACAAGGGCCTATTTTAGTATGCTAATGCCGTCTATAATTTCAGAGAAAAATACAATTCAAATTGCTGGGTGAGACGAATATATTGTCCCCTGCTCTGCAATCCAGAGTGTAGATATTAATGGATTTCAATCAAGCACATGGTCATTAGCCCAAGGTTTTCTAACTAAAGAGTATTAGCTTGAAATGCAATGTGACATATTCTCTTTGGACATGTTTGAAAGTGCTTTTGGAATGATTAAAAGTTTTTTCTGACAATCGAAAACGATTCTAACTATAGGCAAAACAATTTAAAAGTGTGTATGGGTCATAAAACGCTTTCTAGAGAAGCACTTGTCAAGCACATGAAGCACTTCCAAATGCTTAACAAAAAGTGCAATATTCTTTTAACAAAAGCGTTTATAACAAAAGTACTTATGAGCGAAAGTGCTTCCCATAGAAGCAGTCCCAACAAGTGCTAATTGTCATCCACAAGATTTGTCTAACAGTTTAAGTAGAGAAGCCAACAGGTTCAATACGACTCAGCATGCAAGAACAGTGAAGTATGTATTAATTTCAGATGAGTCCCCATCTGAAATTGTGTTCATGAAACGTTTTCAATGCCTAAGTGCATGAAAACGGGAAAACACTGCACTTAAAGGATAATTTAAGCAAAACAAAATTATGGGTCGACCACCTTCTACAATTAATTGTAAACAAAACAAAAGTGGGAAACACACTCCGTCCAAATAACCTAGTTAAAATAACCCAGTTTACCTAATTAAATGAATTCCACCTAATAATCATATAATTAACCTAATACCAGGAGGAACGGGCTCGGTCTTGTTGGGATATGGACACAAAAAAGTCACTCGCAATCGCGAACATAAAACCGAACATACCCAAATTAAAACTCAAGCTAATTGTCTCACATATATAACAAACCAGACATAACTATTGCAAAAGCAAAATCTCTCAATCAAGTCTTAAATCATTGAGCCTCTTCAGACAGAAAAAAGAAACATTGCAACTTGGCAAGAGATAGAAAGAAGCATGGGAGGCATCATTTAAGACAAATGTTGATGTCTTCCCATCATTGCAAAAGCACCATCATGACATACAAAAATATTCATCCACTAAGGAGGGAGCCAAAGGCACAGAAAGCCTGTGCAGCTCTCCCATTTTCCTCTTCCTTTCATTTTAGGCACCAAATATTGTTGACCATGCGTGCATCTTCCATATACTTTTTAATTGATGTAGCTGTTCATTTCATCTACCACATAAAATTGTATGAGAATGTGATATACAAAGTAAAGCAAACAAAACACTATATTTAACCGAAATAACGAAAGGACTAACAAATATAACTTTCAAGATATCGTTGGGAATCTGTGCATGCAATACACGTGCTTTTGAAGACAAAACAGGTCACTCAGACCAGAAAGTAATTAACAAGCACATACCAAAAACGTGCATGCTTAATAAAGGGTAAATAGCTGTTTTGTCCCACAATTATTTTACGATTGTCAACTTACTCCATAGACTTTTAGCAAATGTAGAACTCGCCGTCTGGGCTCTCAGCTGCTATCTTATATATAATAGTGCAGAAAGAAAAAGAAAACATTGCAACAAGTCAATATATAGAGAAAAACATGGGAGAAGTCATCACCCTCATCTCAACAAGTGTAGTGAAAGCTTCGAGCCCTAAGACCATCTCCAACCCAAGGGGTGGAAACTCAAATTTTGAGTTTTGAGTCCAAAAAACTTCTCCAACCCATGTATTTTAGGGGGTGAATTTGAGAAATCTCAAATTTGGGGTGGAGTTCAGTTCCATTAGGCCATCTTCAACCCTTGGACTCAAACCCAAAATATCCCCCCAAACCTCTCCCAACCCAAGAAAAGGAAGGACCCAAAATTTGGGAAAACCCAAATTTTGACCCAAATATGGGTCCAAGTATTGCATGGACTCAATACTATTTACTGGACCCCACGCTGAGGTGGCAGAGCCCATGTGCTTCTGAAAATTGGTGGGACCCGCGCTAGTGACATTTTCTGATGGGCTTTGGCTGTGGCTAAAGCCACATGTCAGCACTACAAGCTAGAGCCGTTGGGCTTTGGCTATTTCCTTTTTTATTTATATTTATTTTTTATAAATCAAATAGTATTGCTAGGGCCCACATGCACTGTGTTTCCAGAGCCTCAAAGAGCCTTTGGAATCAAAACCTGTTTTTTTTTTTTTTTTTTTTTTTTTTTTTTTTTTTTTTTTTTATAAATTAGTAACTTTAAATTAACGATCTATATTAAATCTAAGCTATTTTAACAGTAAAAAAAAGATCCAACGGCTGAAATTTAAATCCAACAGTCAAAATAATATTTTAAATTAATCTATATCATATCCAACCCCAAAACTCACTCCAAACTCTATAAATACCCATCCATTTCTCAAATAATCTACCAAAAACATTTTATCTATTTCTCAAATTATTTTTCCTTTGTCAATCTCCTTTCATTCTTGTTGAAGATGTCCACAAAACCTCAAAGAGGTGCGAATTGGAGGCCCGAAGAAGATGAGGCATTGTGCAAATGGTGGGTTTCTATCAATGAAGATGGGGCTATTGGCACCAATCAAGCAAGCGACACATTTTGGAAGCGTGTATATCAAAAGTTTTTGGAAAATGATCCGGCCATTAGTGGACCCGAGCGACGAATATATCAAGTCATTGCTTTTCGGTTCAAGACTATCAACCAACAGTGTTCTCTTTGGAAGGCATGCTTGACTAAGGCCAATACGAACCCACAAAGTGGCTCAAATTTACATGATGTGGTAAGTAACCATTCTTATTAAAGCTTTAAATTTATATTTGTAATTTTATTCAACTCCAAACTTAAATTTATTTTTTTATGCGTAGGATGTGTATGCAAAAATAATATTTCTTAATGATAATAAGCCTCCAAATAGGTCTTTTAAGTTATACCATGCTTAGGAAATCTTAAAAGATTGCCCAAAGTGGAACGATATAAATGACCCTCCTGCACAACGTTCTTCTGGAGCTAGTGTAAGTATGGTGAATTTGGATAACGATGCAGACGAAATCACCATGCCTAGTCCAAGGCCTGAGGGGCGAGATAAACAAAAGGCTGCACAAAAAAAAAAGGGAAGATGGCTGACCCTTCTAAAAAAAAAAAGGAATAAGTACTTGGAAACATTGGTGGAGCAAGGTATTGCTTTCGAGGATGATAGGAGACGAAAGCTCAACATATTGGACAAGTTTGTCCAAGATCAAGTTGATGCTTATGCGTATAAGAAGCAACAAGATAAGGAAGCCCAAGAACAAAAAATAATGTCCATGGACATGTCCAAATTTACTCCAAGAAAGAAGAAATATTAGGGGGATAAATTATGCAAGAACATGCAGGGGGTCAACAGTCTACTGTTAATCCTGAAAATAATTCAGGGGACTATTATCCAAGCCCCCACGATGGTGGTTATTAGTTTATTCCTATTGGCATTCATGTATGGTGTATTTGAAGTATTGTGTGTTTTCTTTTAGAATTATGTTGTGTGTTTTCTTTTGAAATAAAATTATATTTGTGGAATTTTAGTTTTTTTAGGTCAAATTGTTCAAAAATTTTAATAATTAAGTTATTTAAAAAGATTGAATGAAGAAAAGTTATCCATAAAATAAATAAAAAAAATTAGACTTAAACCATTCTTAAACAATTTAATAAAATTGTTGACTTAAAATTTGAGTCCGGAGGGTTGGGAGAAAAAACAATTTGAGTCCGGGCAAAACCCAAATAGTCACTTTTTGGAGGGGTGAAATTTGAGTTTAGCCCCTCATGGGTTGGAGAAGGCCTTATTGCCTGGACTTATATTTTTTGTGGGCCCAAAATCTTTTTTTTTTTTGTCTGGAAGCCCACGTGCTGACAAACATTGCTGGGCCTGCTGACATTTCTGTTTGGGCATGCAAATAAAGATGGCGCACATTTCAATCTTGTTGGGCAACAACTATATTTCCAATTTTTTTTTTTTTTTTTTTTTTTTTTTTTTTCTATTATGTTTTGGAATTTTATTTTTTTTTAGGTTAAAAATGTTTAGAAAATTAAATAAACGAGTGTTGAAATAAAAATAATGTCAAGAAAAAAAATTTAGGGGTTAATCATTCTTAAACAATTTAATAAAGTTGCGGACTCAAATTATGAGTCTGCAAGGTTGGAGAAAAAAAAATTTTGAGTCCTGAAAACACATGAATAGTTGTATTTTGAAAGGTGAAAATTTGAATTTAACCCCAACATGGTTGGAGATGGCCTAATAACGAGCACTTCACCAACTACAAGAGTTGAGTTAAACCAAAACACAAGTCAAGTCAACGACAACGCATCCTAGAAATTCATTTCGATCAAACTTCCTGTCCATTTCAAGGCAATAAAGTTCACTTCATCTTCCCCGCGTAGAGAGATGAACACCTCGTACAATGTGTTGGTAACAATAATAAATCCTTTTTTTGGTGCCAGATGAATTTTTTACCGTGGGATGAGTAAACATCTAAATGTTATAATAGTGTGTCAAAATGTGTGGCTTTCTGTGTGCCTCTCATCCTCTATATATATAACTTAGGTCTACCCCTCCAACCATTGAACCTCTGCAAGAGAAAACAAAGAAATAAGAACAAAAAAACATGGGAGGCATCAGGATCATCTCAACAAATACAGTAAAAGCAGCGAGTCATAATACTCGAGCAATTGAGTTAACTCCGTGGGACCTCCAGCTCCTTCTTGTTGATCCCATACAGAAAGGCCTCCTCTTTCACAAACCCAAAAACTTTTCACAAAATATCCAACATCTCAAAGCCTCCCTTTCACGAACACTTGACTTCTTTCCACCACTTGCCGGCCGCCTCGCCACCATTGAACACGACGAAGACAACACTTTGTCCTTCTTCATCAATTGTAACAACGCAGGGGTTCTGTTTGTCCATGCCAAAGCTGATGGCGTCACTCTCTCTGACGTCAAAGACTCTCTCTATGTTCCTCGAGATCTTGTCAACTATTTCTTTCCTCTAAACGGAGTTAAAAACTTCCAAGGAACTTCCAAGCCCTTACTTGCAGTTCAAGTAACCGAGCTTGTGGATGGCGTCTTCATAGGCTGCACCATCAACCACACAGTTGTTGACGGGACGTCATTTTGGCACTTCTTTAATTCTTGGTCCGAAATTTCTCGTGGTTCTTCTGATCATGTCTCAAAATCCCCTGTTCTTCAACGTTGGTTTCTGGATGAAATCAATCGTCCCATTCGAATTCCCTTCTCGAAACTTGAGGATCAAGTCTCCGGTAAATTCATCGACAATATCCCGACACCGAATAATCTAAAAGAAAGAGTCTTTTGCTTCTCAAAGGAAAAAGTTGCTCAGTTGAAAGCAAAAGCCAGTGCTGAGATTGAAAACACCAATACAAAAATCTCTTCTCTGCAAGCAGTTTTAGCTCATCTTTGGCGGTCCATAGTACGTGGCAGCAAATATTCTAGTGACGAAGAAACTAGTTACCGGTTGCTGATAGGTGCTAGACCAAGAATGAAGCCGCCATTGCCACAACAATACTTTGGCAATGCAGTTCAGGCCGCGACAGTGACCATGAAAGCTGGGGAGGTTCGGGAACGTGGGCTTGGTTTTGTGGCATGGGAAATGAACAAGATGGTGGCTTTGCACACAGAAGAGAAACTGAGAAGCTTCTTGGAGTGTTGGGTGCAAGAGCCCAAGTTGCTTACAGAAGACAACATGGCTGCTAATGCTTTAGTCACAAGCAGCTCACCGAGGTTCAATGTGTATGGCAATGACTTTGGCTGGGGAAGGCCGGTTGGGGTGAGAAGCGGTGCTGGGAATAAGTCACATGGGAAGATTACAGTGTTTGCTGGGGTTGAAGAAGGCAGTATTGATATTGAAGTTTGTCTTTTGGCTGAGACCTTGGAGGCCATGGGAAATGATTCAGAATTCATGGATGTGGTCACACTCACAGTGTAGCTCTAGATGCGTTGCTAATGCAACTTTTTTAAATTAAAAATATTGAAATATTGAAATATGCTCAATCAAATTATCATTATCTTTGGCGCTGTCTAATTCGTATTTGCGTAATCATTTCTTCACAGTATTCACTACAGAAAACTGCATTTCTATAGTGGATTAGTACTGACATTGTACATCCATTGTAATCCATCCATGCACCTTGAATATTGTGATACAAACACCTTCACGATTGAGGCCTAGTTTGGGATTGCTGTCACTTTTAAAAAAATTTGCTTATGCTGTGCTTTGAAAATAATTAGCTGCAAAGTAAAGCAGCTTCATGTTTGGTAAACAATATTTTTAAAGTGCTGTTAGTATAGAAAGCAGTGTCAAAACCGTTTGGTAAATTTTAATATAAAATTGTTGTAACTGTGAATAATGACTAAAATAGACATGATGTTGAAAGTGTTATATACTAATAATGAGGTGGTAATGGTGGTGATGGAGTGGAGGTGGTGGTGGTGATGAAGTTGGAGTTGGTGGTTGTGGTAGTTGTGGTGGTGGGGATGGCGGTTGTGGAGGTGGTGGTGGTGGTGGCAGTGGCAATGTGGTGGTGGCGGTGGTGTTGGTCGTGGAGGTGGTGGTGGATGTGGAGGTTTTGGAGGAGGTGGTGATTGTGGTGGTGGTGGCGGAGGATGAGGAGGACGATGTGGTGGTGGTGGTGGTGGTGGCAGTGGCGGTGGTTGTGGTGGTGCAAGTGGTGGAGTTGGATGTGGAAGTGGAGGTGGTCTCATTTTCTAAAATGAATTATGGTATTTTGGGAATTAAAAAAATTCATTAAAGGTTCATCTCTGCTTCTTTTGAAAGCAGTTTTGAAAAGCAACCTAGAGCCAGCTTTTAAAAGTTATTGTCAAAAGGCCACTGCTTTTAAAATAATCAGGATATTTTATTTTTACCAAACACCTTAAACTGCTTAACTTTAAAGTGAAGCAGATTTTTGACCAAAAAAAGCAATCCCAAACGGGGCCTGAGAATGAGGTAAACTAGTCATGTCAATTCTAATTTCTACCCAACCCCGTGAATATGTGATTTATACATGTGAGTTATACTAGTTGGTTATAATGGTGTGCCCGCCTCCTCCACTCGAATTTGAACGCTTTTCTAATTAAACTTGTGGATGTGAGTTATACTAGTTAGAGATGTCAGTGTGCCAGCCTCCTTCCCTCGAATTTGAACCCCTTCTTGATTAAAGAGTCGTTTAAAATTTGAAACAAACTGTAATGTTGATTGTCACAAAAGGACATTGAAGATGATAACGTGAACTAATTGTGCCAAATTCTGGATAAGACGGTAATGGTCTACATTAGTTTATCTTATGACAATAAGGTTCTTCGTACCAGATAAGCAACACTTGTACGTCTCTACATATTCCATCTTCGTCTTTGTTGTGAGTGAATATTGGGATAACATATTCCTTTCCCATTTTGTTGGTTTTTAGCATTTATAACCATATATCCATGTGGAGACATACTGACCATATTGATCCAAAGCTGAAAACGAAATGACTGGGACGTGTGCCAAAATGATATGTAACATGAGAAATCCATGTGGAGACATACTGACCATATTGATCCGAAGCTGAAAACGAAATGACTGGGACGTGTTCCAAAATGATAAGTAACATGAGAAAACAGCCGTGTGGTTAGTGTCTTAAGAAAATGGGATTTGGTAATGGACGCATGTGCTCTCTTTTTTTCCTCAGTTAATATTCCAATTGGTTTCCTTGACATTTTCCCTGTCTTTTTTATCATTAATTTTGCCACTTTTCTCCTGACCATATTCAACCAATTAGTATAAGCATGGTGGGTGGCAGCTTCTGGAGACCAATGCTAGTTAAGGAGTCGTTCCTTCTAATAAATTTGATGTGGAAAAGGTATAAAAGAATAGCTCTTTAGCGTTAACGGTGTTTAGCCTAGTGAAAAATAATTATGATTTGCAGACTAATAGTCTCAGGTTCGAATCCCCATGAGATTTTGATAGTTGTGTGTGAGAAACCCCCTCCATTTGTAGTTTAGACTATTTAGGGTTGGTTTTCGAATGGAACATATCAAAATCAAGGCATTTCAATTCCAATTCAAAAACTTTCAAAGTGAAAATTCTTTTCCAATTCCGTTCCAATTTTTTTTGGAATTTCAACATTCATTCCGATTCGGAAAAATCATAATTTTAGTAATATTTTGGAATATACATATTTTGGAATTTTTTTTGAAAAATTTCAAAAAATCGTTGAAAATTTTAAACATGTCCAACGATCTGAAATGTTAAAAGTGGCTCAAAATTGAAAATCATACATAAAGCTCAAAAACTATTATATGTTGTTATCCATTATG